GAAGAGCCCCCCACTCTGAAAATTATGCCAGTACTTCCTTGTTTTTTGTATAGTAGGGAAACTCAGCCTAAAAACTGACTCTGCTCTCTTCTAAGCCGTTTCACTTCCCAGGTGCGCAAGAGCAGAAGCGCAAATTTTGTCCCCCTTTCCCCTCCCATCACCTCTGAGCCAGAAGCTGGGTATTCCTAAGTTTACAACCTGTTTAACAGCCGTTTTTCTTCCCAGGTGCTCAAGAGCAGAAGCGCAAATTTTGTCCCCCATTCCCCTCCCATCACCTCTAAGCCAGAAGCTGGGTATTCCTAAGTTTACAACCTGTTTAACAGCCGTTTCTCCCCAGGTGCGCAAGCGCAGAAGCGCGAGGCGGGGCTGTCCAACTCGTACGGCGAGCCGCTGCCCTCCGACGCCTACGGGCCGCCCAGGGACTTCCAGAATAACGGTCAGTATCTCTTAAACTAGCGAAGATAATATAGGCCTTAATGTGTTTTTAAGTTTCTTAACTCTGCTACTGTCCAAATGAATCTGTGGTGTAAAGTGCTCTAAATTTCCAATAAGCACCAAAAACTTAAAGAAAAACACTTTCTTCCCGGGTTGTTTGAAAGAGTTTGCCGACTAAGCGATAAGGTCGAAAGTATGCATTTTTTTAACTACAAAATGTTTGACCTCGTGGTTAAAAATTGAAAATAATTATAAATAAAACTTACATAAAGGATCTAAATGCATTTCCATTTAGAGACCTTTCTTTCATTGTTACTGCATATGCACATTTTGAGTAAAACTATTTTCGGTCTCACACTTGACAATTTATTTATTTTATTTTTATTTTGATATTATTTCGTTATTAATAAAGCGTCCGTTATTTCAGTTCCAGATCTTCCACTCCCAGCGCCGGTGTACGGCGTGCCAGAGATCCAGAACAACAATATCTTCCCTCAGGACCCTCCTCCGGGGGCCTACGGACCACCCTCCCCTGTGGTCTTCCCCAGCCAGACCTACGAAGGGCCCCCGCCGCCCATATTCAAGCCCAAGCCAATCTACGGCCCGCCCAAGCACTATGGACCGCCGAAACCCAGCTACGGGCCCCCTAAACCCGTCTATGGACCCCCCAAGAAGACTTACGGACCACCCAAACAAAGTCTCCCAAAACCAACTTATGGAGTCCCGTTCCAACCACCAAAACTTGCCTTTCCCAAACCTGTCTATGGAGTTCCCAAGCCGAAGCCAGTTTACGGCCCGCCTAAACCAGTCTACGGACCCCCTAAAGCCACCTATGGCCCCCCCAAAGCTACTTACGGACCGCCAATAAACGTGCAAACCTTACCAGCGATTCCAGAACTGCCTCCGATTTCTTTTCCGTCGCTGCCACAATCGATTGGAGTAGGAGCTAACTTCGGAGCAATTGATAACAGTATAGACCTCGGACAGAACCTTCCCGCACCGATTTACGGGACTCCCATTCCTGGAGACTTAGCACCGAACTTCCCCATCCCAGCTGAGACATACGGCCCACCAGGCCATTCTCTGGGTCCAGTAGGTCCAAACGACCAAGTAGTCGTGCACGGAAGCGATGTAGGACACTATGGACCACCTCAACCAGATCCTAACCCTCGCCCGCCACACCCAGGCATTCCAGCACCTCCAACACCACCTCATGTTCTTTACGACGGCTGGAAACCAATCCCAGGAGTCTCCAAACCAATATTCGACCAGGGTCACCAACATCACCAACACCATCAGCAACACCAACAACACCAGCATATAGAAGACCAGTACGGCCCGCCACCACCACCTCCTCAAGTCCAAGAGATCCACTTGAATCTAGACGGAAATTCGCTACCAAATGCAAACCAGCCCCCATCATTCGCTGGCGCTCAAATCACAACTGGCTACTCAAACGTTCACCAAGACGCATTAGCTAATATCGACCTTAACGCGATCGTCGGAGGAGACTCCAACCACATCGACCAGTCAAAGACAGTATTTGAAGCTCACTACACGGAGCAAGGACCTCAATCTGACGTTCACTTCCTTCAGTCTTCATCTTTGACTTCGGGACCTGAAAAACCAAGCGATTCCTACGGAGCGCCTCCATTAGAATCTCTGTCTAATGGCCCATATCCTCCGTCCCTAAGACAGCAAGGAGCTAAAGGCTTGATCCCGCCATCTGGAATCTACGGAGTCCCACCTGGAGGTCACTACGGCGTCCCACCGAGACACCCGCCCTCCCACTTGCCCATTCCTCACGGAACCTTCTCCGGGGGAGGCCACTCGATCCACACTGGAGGCCACAACCCTAGACACCCAATAAAGTTCAGGGATTCCGTCCCAGAAGGTCTCCTCCAGACTATTGGCCAGACAACTCACCAGAAAGACTTCTTAGGAGTCAACCACTTGCAGCAAGGCCCAGCGTATCTGCCTCCACCGATCCGTGACGTCAAAGACGTGAATCACCAGACTGGAAACCACGGCAGCGGAGTATCTCTATCCATTGAACCGTCTAACTTGTACAGCCTACCTCATGCGGGCAGCCCCATCAACTTCCAGTCCTTACAACAACAACCGAGCAACCTCTATGGCTCTCCAATTGATTCTTACTCCGTACCACTCCTTACGGTCGGAGTTGGAGACCACGCTACTTCGTCGTCCAATCAAAACTCAGTCACGGCTACGGTAGATGGCACTGTTCTGGCCAACTTGAATCTGTCGAGCCTAGATGCAGCTGCGATCCTCAAGCACTGTCCTTATCACGAGGCTATACTCAAAGCCGCCAAATTCGGAGAGAAAATCCCGTCAGAGCTGGCTTCAAGCTACGTCGCCAGCTTGAGTTCTTTAGGATCAACTCTGTCAAAGAATCAGCAAACGTTGATTTCTCCTCAGAACGGTTTCAACACTCCTGTACCAGGCAGCGAGTCGGTATCTTACAATACAAAAGACTTATCCACTGCTTCACATACGCTAGTCCAGACCATTTTACCGAGCAATGAAATCAAGAAGGAAAAGACTGAAAAGAACACTATACAGAAAGGTAAATCCATAAAGGATGAATCAGGCAAACACAGCTACAAACAAGACGACAGGATACAGTTTGTCTCACAGCAAATATTGCAGACTTCTGAGAAGATCCGCAACTTGAGCGAGGAGACTAAGCAGCTGCAGCAAAAGATAGTCTCCAATAACCAGAATTTGAACCAACAATCGCAGTTCAGCCAGTCTGAGATACCAGTGAAAGGCAAACTGGCTAGCTACTCGCTACAAATACAGTCAGCTGAGGATGGTTTAAGAGGCAAAGCTGGTCCTCCTTCAATACCTCACGAGCAATTACTCTCCGAAGGTCTTCTACAGAGCATTCTACAAGCGATAGAGCAGCCATCGCAACAGCAGCCTCCTAACTTTAGACCTCAGACTCAGAACTTCAATTTCGACCAGTCCAACGCCAAAATCAACTTTGACCAATCGACTGGTCTTGATTTCTCCAACATCGACACTGGGGGCCTAGTCCTGCCGGCTGGATACGAACCTATCGATAGAACTAAGGAAAAACAGAAGACTGTTGATCAAGAAATCCAAAGCTCCAACAAAGATATCAAGCAGATTCTAAACAGAGAAGTAATTCATAGCCACAGAGGGGATATACCGCACTCTGATTGCGATCTGAAAGCCGACAATTCAGTGACGCACACGATAGTGGTGCCTCCTCCCAACGTTGAGAGTTCAAATTCGGTTGACGATAATGATGACAATGACGTTGCAATTTTCTTTGGAGACTCAAAAGAGGAGAAAAGTGAGCCCGTAACTGAAATATCGGTGGCCACTAGCATAAGCGAAAACGTAGAGGAATACAGCAAAAAGGAATTTGGTGAGAAAATAAATAAGTCATGAAACTGGGAATTAGGTGAGAATCTAGTCTAATATTACCAGTGAGCTGATGACACGAGCGTTGAGACAGTTTCTGACAATTAATTTGGTTCTTAAATCCATAATAATTGTAGCTTTTTTGTACCTATTTAAGTTGATACAGATTATCAATGTAATTAAACATGAAATTATTTATTCCTCCTGTAATTAATCTGAAACTTGGTCAAAAATCTATGGCGAGTAGCTCACTGGTGCCATTTGCTTCTCAAGAGGTGTTCCACGAAAGTTTGGCATCTCCCAAACGAATTTACGTAGCGCCATCTGTCGACGATTTGAGGTACATCCACAGTGACATCTATTTTTAATAGATCCCCACTTCTCTGGATGCATTTCAAATTAAATTAAACGTTATTTAACTAATTATTTATACCATTAACATTAGGTTAAGTTATCCAGTATTTTGGTTGTTTGGTTTTATTTATTTTTGTCGATTCGAGTGAATTTTGTATGTACAATTTAGTACAATGTTTAATTTTAGTGTTACGGTTGTTTACGATCGAATAAAATGTATATAAAATATGTTGTTAATTTTATTCACAATCCTCTCTAATTTAACATAAATTAGACAAAGAAAATAAATGAGATTGAATGACGGTTGCTTTTATAGGAACTATATTTGCATTTACCTACATTTCCTTTCACTTTTACATCGTCGCATTCAGAATGAAAGACAATTAAAGAAATACATTACAAATATAAAAATTACAAGTACACCTTCTACCGTATAGCTATCGGTCCGATTTAGCCCATATCAGATGCCTACTACAGAAGGAAAAAAGAATAAGTATTTTGTAATTTAAAATCTCACGCCTCTATTAACTATTTTTAGTGATTAGAGTAAACCTATCTATTATTGCAAAATGAAGGATACTGAAACTGTTTGCAATCGCAATTTGAGTTTTATTTGTATCGTTCCAGTATGGTTCATACAAAATTGCCAGAGAAAATATGGGCGCGAACTTCAAAACTAAACTTACAATGAAAATCCGCAAACAGCGCCATCTAGTGGGAAGTAGCCGCACTACTAGCACTATGTTGTCAATTTTGACATTTTGTGTCTACCACCATTCACCAACCAAACGTTAAAATAGTGACCATAAATGATGCCAAATCCCAAACTTATTGTTTTTTGCAAATTATTCAGTGAAGTTAATTAAATTATGTACTTTCTCCTGTGAAAATGAACCTGGAATTTATTTCTACGTCTATAAAACCCATCTGTGAAGGTTGCTTGAGTGTCGATAGGAAGTTATCGCCAGTGTTTGATGTTGAAATTAGAGCGTTCTTTAAAGAGTTGGTTGACCCCCTTACCTGCTACTCTGATGTCGTAAGTTTTTCACTGTAATTGTTAATTACCTAACGATTAACGTATATTAAAACCTAAATACACAATCTACCCTATCTTTAAGCTAATTTAATATTTAAATATGGTCATTTTCCTTGCAAGAAAGCATTCTAAATCCACAATTTTGTTATGTTATTCAGGATCACCTAAATCACCCTTCAGCCCTCTGTTGGGAGTGCACAGCGATCATAAAACGGACCCTAAACTATAAGAAACAAGTTCAACATGCCCACGGACTACTCATTCAGTATATGGTAAGAAACCAAAATAATTGTGGGGTAAATAAGTTTGTTATTGCTTCATGCATAGTAGCTATGTTATAGCAGTTTTTATATTCTTGATAAATTACAAACTATATGTCTCTAATAATGATGAAAAGTACATACCTAACATACTCAAGGTTTAAGGTGCTTATTACACTTAGAAGGTATTGCAACAAAGTATGTAGGTGTTTTCACCAATGCACAGTCCTGCGCTGCCCGCATCCAGGCTCTTCCCGCGACCTTTACCAGATCGTCGGTCCACCTAGTAGAAGGCCTGCCCACGCTATGTCTTCCAGCCCGTCTTTGTCCAGCAGTGGACGTCATTTGGCTGAAACGAACAAACGAACGAATGATGTAGCTATTATTTGTCAGAATGTATGCAATTTTTATAATATTCTGTCTTTATTTAATATAATTGCTTAACTTAGTAGGTATAAAAAACAGTAATAATTGACCTTTAAAACCTTATTTCAAAAACTGTCAATGTATAATTGGCTAAATTATAGATCTTTACGTCAATCTATTTCTATTTTACAGCTACATCACACCACAAACCCACCAGTACTCTCCAGTCTCTCTATTTGCTCCAATCGACCTGAAAACATCGATCCAGCTGATCAAAAAAACATTATTACGAATGTCCGTCCTACTAGCCCATCTAAGAATACATCTGCGGTGACAAAAAAGAGTAGGGCGATCGAACAACAGTTGACAAGCTCAGTAGAACCGTTGGAGTTTCTTAAAGTTGAGCAGAAAGACGATGAGACTGAGTTCGATGACTTAGAAGGGTATTATGTTGAGAATGATGATACGAATGATGATTATGATAAGGATTTAGAGGTAAGTGTGATTTGATATTGTTATTATTATGATATCCAAAAAACAGGACCACACTCAGCACATATCCTACTGATATCCCAACTAATATTATAAATGCGAAAGTAACTCTGTCTGTCTGTCTGTCTGTCTGTCTGTTACGCTTTCCCGCTTAAACCTCGCAACCGATTTTGATGAAATTTGGCATAGAGATAGTTTGAGTCCCGGGAAAGAACATAGGATAGTTTTTATCCCGGTTTTTTAAACAGGGACGCGCGCGATAAAGTTTTTCTGTGACAGACAAAATTCCACGCGGGCGAAGCCGCGGGCGGAAAGCTATTATAAATAAAGTTTGGATTTCTGGATGTTTGTTACTCTTTCACGCAAAAACTACTAAAGGGATTTTGATGAAACTTTACAGTATTATCGTTTATAACCCAGAATAACATATAGGCTATAATTTATGATGATCTGTGACAAACGAAATTTCATGCGGGTGAAGCCGCGGGCAAAAGCTAGTCAACAATAAATGCTAAGCCAGACTTATAGAAATTTTAAACAATATCAAAAAAGAGTGACAGAACATTGCACAAATTATTAATTATTTCTGTTTACCTTTTAAAAACATACTATTCAGGGTGTCCACATTCTGGAAAGTCAGGGAAAGTCAGGGAAAAGTCAGGGAAGCTCATAGCAGTCAGGGAAAGTCAGTGAAATAGAGGGGTCACCTGGAAAGTCAGGGAAAAATTGAGATTTTTTCTACCAAAACACTGTTTGTCTCCCGTTTACCAGTGATTGTAAAATGAGGGATTTCATTAATTTATGCTCTAGAAAGACCTTTGATCTTGACTATCGAAGCATTTTTTTCTTCAGGTTTGGAGTGATCTACATTAGGGATGTTGCGGATCCACTTTTTTCCACATCCGCGGATGCGGATTTTAAGAGGTTCACATCCGCGGATGCGGATGCGGATCTGTACAAAAAACTTAAGTGTTGGCTTAGTAGAGAAAGAAATACAGCCTTATTTATCATTTTTTATTTAATAATAAAGTAGAGAATGAATTTCTTTTAGTAATTTAGTAATTATTATATAACTTAATAATTAAATATGAAAAACTGTCTTAAACTACACTTTTAGCTTCATAGTTACATTAGTTCATATGACAAATCTAAGATTTTGGATTCAAAATTCAGTTTTACGCAACTCGTAGGAACGGCCCTTATTAAAGAAATTACAAGTTTTTAAATAGCTACCTATATAATTACCCAAAACTACTATAATATCATAAGGATAAATCAGCGATGTCAGACAATAATAAACGCCCGACTTAACAAAAAAAATATTGCATAAAATATAACTTACCGGCATAATTTTTTAATTTCTGTAGCTTTTCGATATTTGCTTTTTAAAACAAAGCAAACTCCTTAGCGTGCATTGATTTCAAACGATTTATTAATGACGATGTTGTTCGGCCCTTTCGCGAATATGTTTTGTTACATATTTTACATTGCGATTTCTCCCGGTCGTTGTCCACAGGTTTGTAATACGTCCAAATTTCACTTTGCGTAGGTGGTGGCATAGTTCACATATCCAAATAGTAAATAAAACTTTACTTAAGGTACGTAATACAAATGAAGGNCGTTGTATACATAGTTGGTCAGGGAATTTTGAAAAAATTGTCAGGGAAAGTCAGGGAAAAGTCAGGGAATTTTTTCGAACATTTGCAGTGGACACCCTGCTATTGTACAGTTGACAACACATAAACATAGAATAGGGGATGTTTTTGGCAATATACGTAAATTAAATTAACTCAGAAGTCTAAGCTTCAGTTGCACCACCTTAACTGTAACCTGAATTGTAACTATAACCGGTGTTATTTCATGACTCATCCTTTTAAAATAACACTACTCATGATCTACGTAGTCTGGTCTGTGAGCACGTAGAATTTTGTCCAATGACCCCAAGCTACCCATACTAATCGCTCGCGAATTATGTTGCTGTCGCGCTCGCACACTCACTGCGGGCGCCCGTCGCACAGTCGCGACAGCAATATAATAACGCGCGAGCGATAAGGATGGGTAGCTTGGGGTCATTGGTCAAAATTCTACGTGCTCACAGACCGGGCTTTATAACTATAACCGGTGTTATTTCATGACTCATTCTTTTAAAATAAGATTAGTTTTTGTCTACAAAAACTAATGTAGACAAAAATGTCATTTCAGGCAATCCTAAAATCGACTACAGATCAAGAAAGTAAAACAAATGTCACATCAAAAGGAAGGACGTCGGACGTGGATGAGTTCGGGGAGTCCGATGAAGAGCCTTTGAAGAAGAGAACAGAGGCAGAAGATACCGATGCAAAGAAATACAAGCCCAGGGGGAAGAGAAAAAAGAAAAATAAGACTGGTATGATTATTTGAATCTTTACATTTATATTACACCTCCTTTACTTTTGTTCGTTTCAGCCAAATGACGTCCACTGCTGGACAAAGGCCTCCTCCAAGGTTTTCCACAATGCACGGTCCTGCGCTGCCCGCATCCAGGCTCTTCTCGCGACCTTTACCAGATCGTCGGTCCACCTAGTACCTAGTAGGACCTTTACTTTATTTGTTGCATTTAAATAACATCAAAGATGTGTAATTATTTCTAAGATACATTCTATGAAAACCGTTCGCTTCAGGTGGAATCTTTCGCTTATTGTTGACTGCTCTGAGCGACCACTGAACTATCATTCATTCAAGTGTTTAGGCTAAGTTTTTATACAGTAATAAATTTATTCTTATTCTTTATTCTAATCTATCTATATATATAAAAATGAAACCCGTTTCGCGTTGTCACGGCATCACGTGTGAACGGCTGAACCGATTTCGATAATTCTTTTTTTTAAATGTTTGTGGAAGTCCAAGGATGGTTCTTACGGAAAAAAATATTAAGAAAATCTCTACGCTAAGGCGGTACGAAGTTCGCCGGGTCAGCTAGTTACTGATAAATTAATAGATAATACATGTTTCAGAGGGCACATTAAACCATCCATTGGGTCATCTTAGATGCCTATGGCTTCTATTGAATAGAAAAACTATGGCACTAGTTATTTTATAGTTATTTTCAACCGACTTCAAAAAAGGAGGAGGTTCTCAATTCGACCCGTATGTTTTTTTTTCTTCTGTTTGTTACGCGATAACTCCGCCAATTATGAACCGATTTGAACAAATCTTTTTTCGGCGTATAGGTAATACTTCAAGTGGTCCCATTTAAATTTAATAATAGAAAAAACAACCCCCAAGGGTGGAAAATTGGGGATGAACTTTTTTATACGCAATATTTTTAATTTTTAGTTTTTTTTGTGTTCACGCATTTGAATTCGGTTTTATTTTTTTAAAAAGTTAATTACATCTATGTATTATTGAATTTCAGAGGACTCGAAACCGAAGAAAGCTAAAGGCAAGAGGGAGAAGCCTGCAGGAGTGGTGGAGCACCCTCGCGTGCTGAGGAAGCTGGAGCAGCTGAATGTGCCGCGCGGACGGGTCCAGATGGTCGTGCTGAGCTGGGAAGAGGTGGGTGGGATTATGGACTAACCTTTACACTTATAGGTTAATTTAATACCTATAGTTCATTCAACTTATGATGGTGATTTAGACAGATAAAACGTTTCGTTTTATGATTCTAAATTTCTACAAATAAAAATATTGAGTTGTAAAAATCAATTACTTTTGTGTGTTTTCATCCTTCCAAAATATCAATCACTAATCTTTCTCAATTAACCTAAACAAGAATTTCTAATTATTTGTTAGTTTATTATTTAGAAAAAATTGTGAAAAAATATTAAATGAATTGCTTCTGCGTTAGTCGGAACTTTTGCTCATAGGGATGGGACATAAACAATCGCAATAAATCAGTAATCGGCATGGTGGTCATCTTACCATCGAATCACGATTATTATCTCAGGCAGGTCAAAGCTAAGTCAGTACGTGTGCGTTTGCCTTTGATGACGGTTTTGTTTTATGCGATTTCTCCACGTATTGTTTGTTATTGTTATTTTGATGTTTTATTGAATAAAATGCATATATTTAATTCTTTGTGATTTTGTACCACTAAGAATATTCACGTTTATTCCATTTCCAGATAGTTCAAATTCATAGATATAATTTTGATCAAGATTAAAAATCAAACAAATAAAAGGCGATTAAATTTCTATAGAAAATATTCTCGATTCTAAAAAATATCGATTAGGTTTATAAGGAGCGCCTCACTAAATAGAACTGTCATAACTGAATGGACTATAATTGGGTAGAACTTCGTAATACCAATTTAAAGTTGAGTTAAGTTATCAATAAATACAAATCGGATTATTAATTTCTAAACGTATCTTATTTGACATTCTTGAACTTGAACATTTGACAATAGTGTTCACCTACCTACCCACGTTAACTTATTTAAAAATGTTTTAGTAATAGAATGTGTTTCTTTAATTGGCTTATGTTCAAGTTGTATCTTCCTGCACATTTATGTACAATTTAATGCTATTGAAACATTGTTAAACAAATAAAAAATAAAAAATAAATATAAAAAAAAAACAATAGCTGGCTCGATGAATTTAGTTTAATTAATGCGGGATATGAGGCGAAGAATACTTATACTTTAAAGAGAAGAAACCAACTGGTAACAAAAAAAATTACCCCTAAGTTATATGTATATTTTTAGTTCTATGTTTTAAGTCTATTTTTAAAATTTGAATAGCAAGTACACTGGCCGAGATTTTGTTAAAACTTTTGCATTTAGAGTATTCAATATCGTTGGTATTTGTATGACACTTGTCAAGCAATTTTTGAGCGTTGTTCACGCCATTTTGTTTTCCCGCCAGGTGGAGGAAGAGAGACAGAAAGTAAGGCTTTCAGTGTTTATCACTCGCCGAAAGCAATATTATCAAATCACTTATGGCTCATAATAATTTGTTCCCAGGTGGAACAAGAGAGACAGAAAGCCTTACAGAGCGAGTCTTTCACTCGGCACGAGTACCGCTGCGCCTCGTGCGCGCTCGGCTTCAACCACCGCTTCAAGCTGCTCAACCATATGAAGAAACACGAGCCCGTGAGTTTATTTATTTATTTATTACTAGCTTTCCGACCGCGGCTTTGTCCGCGTGGAATTTTGTCTACCACAGAAAACCTTTATCGCGCGCGTTCCTGTTTCAAAAACCGGGATAAAAACTATCCTATGTCCTTTCCCGGGACTCAAACTATCTCTATGCCAAATTTCATCAAAATCGGTTCAGTGGTTCAGGCGTGAAAGCGAGACAGACAGAGAGTTACTTGCGCATTTATTTGCAACAAAAATGGACCAGTAAAAGTGGAGGATTTGGTTTACACAGTTTCGCTTCAGTATTTAGTTAGATTTGAGGAATGTTTTGACTCTTATTGGAAGCATTGTGGGATCTTTAGGCGTGTTTGGAGAAGAGATGACGAAACCAAGTATACTTACTTTGAACTCATTTTACGACCACAAGACCAGTGTGCTTACCATGAGTTTACGTTAGGTGTGCTCGCTAGCGACTGCGTAAAAAAATTGACATTAATTGTATGACATATTGTGCAGCGCCCCTATCGGCTACTTTCAAGAAACAAAATCTTCATAGAGATTTTTGACGTACTCGCTAGCGAGCACACCTAACGTAAACTCATGATAGGTACACAGTTGAAATAAATGACTGTTAACCCTTAAGTAACACCGTGGGGTAATTTTTAACCCCAGGCGTATAAAAAATGGCATATCTTTTTTTCTAGTGAAGCTAGAGCAATATCGTTTTGTGTATTCTCAATGCAGAGCGTGCGCTTTAAGCTAGTAGACATAGACACGGGATGTGAAAAAATCATCCGTTTGGCTTTTACAGGTAGGTGGGGTAGAAGTTTACCCCAGGGTGTTAGTTACGCATGCTTTAATTTATCATCATCTAACATGTAATTAATAGGTTTTTATGATATTCAAACAAAATGAATAAATATTTATATGACGATCAAGTAGCACGTTGTCTCGAGAATGCAGAGAGATAAATAGAGCTTGATTTTCATGATACTTTTCTAACTTTGAAGACATTCCCTCAGAACAGAGCGTTCATAAATTCGACACAGAAATAGAACTCGAAAGTGATAATTACGTAATAATTCAGTGTGTTCAGTGTCTTCTGAAAATAATAATTATGAACAAAATAATATAAAAATTAATTTCTCATAATTTTATAAAAAACATTTTTTTTTATTTTGCTTTGTTATAAGTCCAGAAATTTTCGTTTTATTTATCTTTGAGTTTAAAATGTGTATAAAGCAACTATTCGATGTCCGATTAGTGTAAGTTTTTAGTTCCCACAATAACTTTCCAAGATTTTTCTAGAAGACCAATGTAGATACTATTAGTTGCAAATGAAAAATTCTTGGTTTTTTGTATGATTTATTTAAGATGTTTCTTTACGCTAGATAGACGATTTTTTAAGGTAATCTTATAATTTAGTGAGCCCGCTAACACATATTAATCACAGATAGAATTTATTTTCAATATTTATTTAAAAAATTTCAATTTCCGTTTGGGGTAATTTTCAACCCGTTCAATGTGTAACCAAAAATAAGGATGTTACTTAAGGGTTAACATGTAATATTTTGTTGTTTAGTCTGCGGGCGCGCTGGCGTGCCACGCGTGCGGCACGCGCTGTCGGGACGCGCACGCGCTCACTGCGCACAAACGCAGGCATCGAGTCAGGTACGCACTGCACTAAACCCCGGTCTGTGAGCACGTAGAATTTTGTCCAATGACCCCAAGCTGCCCATCCTTATCGCTCGCGCGTAATTATGTTGCTGTCGCGCTCGCACACTAACTGCGGGCGCCCGTCGCACAGTCGCGACAGCAACATAATTACGCGCGAGCGATAAGGATGGGTAGCTTGGGGTCATTGGACAAAATTCTACGTGCTCACAGACCAGACTATACCATAGATCGTTTCATCCACTCGGACGCGCCCCACCATTCTCCCGCGAATGTTCTCGTGTTATCGGTCCACGCGAATGCTCCATGAGTGCACACGCACACTACAGTAATGCCTTACGGCTTGCTCGGACCACACTCCCCGCACCCCGCGCGACCGGGACCAAACATGGGGCGCGGCCGAGTGGATGGAACGATCTATAATGAAAATCATGTCATCCATAAAATAAAACCAGAATCAACCTACATTTACCATTGAAATTAAAAAACGATCAGGGTATACATAACCACTATTATTATAAATAGATGCCGCTGTACATAAAAAAAATAGTGCGGTTCTACAATAATAGATGGCGTTATTCAATAAAATACGTCCTCTCGCCGGCAGATGGTGCTGTACTTTATGGTGGTTTATATTCCTTCTAATAGATGGCGCTAGACAAAATTGTGTAGTTGATATTCCTACTAGTAGATGGCGCTGTACAGTCTAATTTAGTTTGTATTCGCGCTAATAGATGGCGCTGTACTTTTAGTACGTGTTCCTACTATCAGATGGCGTTGGACACATTTAGTAATTGTACTCTCCAATAGATGGCGTTATATAGTGAAGTTTAGTTCTTATTCTCACTAAGAGATGGCGCTGTATAGATTGTAGTGTGAATTCCTTCTAAAAGATGGCGTTGCATAACTTGAAGTGTGTAATCTTGCTAACAGATGGCGCTGTATAAATTGTAGTGTGTATTTCTTCTAAAAGATGGCGTTGCATAAATTGAAGTGTGTAATCTCGCTAACAGATGGCGCTATGCAGATTGTAATGTGTATTCCCACTAATAGATGGCGCTATATTAATTGAAGTGTGTAATCTCGTTAACAGATGGCGCTGTATAGATTGTAATGTGTACTCTCGCAAACAAATGGCACTGAACTTTAGTACGGATTCCCACGATGGCGTTGCAGTTGCACAGTATGGAGTAACGTGTTATTAATTTGCTAACAGATTCACATATTTGAAAATTATAAATAACTTGAAGAAATCGAATTGCCTAAGGCGGTAAGATTTACATTTATGATTATAGACCCACTACACTGAACTGTCCCACCAAACTCATAGACAGGGGGGCATCGTTCAACTAATAGTTTCCAAGATGGCAAAAACCGGAACCAGCGATCTGGTATTGACGGTGGCGTCCCCCTGTCGATGTCAGGGGTCAGAACCAGAATCAGAACGGTAGTACCTACCAATGAGGGTTTTCGCGAGTGAAAGATCCGCTAGATGGCGGGACGTGGATGTGGGGTCTGACTGCTGCGTGATTGGTGGATTTTGACATATCTGTCAATGTCTTTGTTGTTTGTCGGCCGTTTGGTGTAGTGGTTCAGAACGGACTACTATGCCGAGAGGTCCCGGGTTCGATTCCCGGCCGGGCAGAAATTGAAATGATGAATTTTAATTTCTGTGACGGGTCTGGGTGTGACTATGTATAATATGTATGTATTTAAAAAAAAAAGTATATAANTTTTGACATCTATCTGACACTTCATCACATCTGACAGATGTACATATTCTGTATAGACAAAATAACGTTGTAATAACGGTATCTCGATAACGGTATTTATTTACTTCATCACATAAATAATTTTCTTTTTGTTTTAGTAATCTAGCCTCAATAATTTAGCTGTACCTGTATTTTGTTATGCCTTCTCAGCAGTTTACGTTATTTATTTTATATCGCAAAATTTTCTTGTTTCTTCTTTTGTAAAAGTAATCTTTTTGTGAACCATTGTGAACAGTCAACCGGCAGGTCATGCGCAGCTATTAGTCGCAATAGGTTTAAATTCATGTCACTTGACTGGATAGTATAGTTTATTTATTTATATTTTTTTAATATTTGTTATTATTTNATTTATTTAATGTCATGTCAAAAATAACCAATCATGCAGCATTTGGATCTCGCGTCTACGTATTGCCATCTGGCGGATTTTTCATTCGCGAAAACCCTCATTACACTACTCAATCAAGTAACAATACGTCACTACGTACTCTCGCTAACAGATGGCGCTGCACAGTGTGCGGCGAGCTTAGCTCTCGCGCGGCGGTGGCGGCGGACCACCACGCGCGCGCGCACGGCAGCCAAACTCCCACACACACCTGCAGCCTGTGCGGACACACGGCGCCGTGAGTACAGAGACAATATTTTTACTTTTGAAACCCTCGTTTCAGGCAGAAAGGCCGTGTCATAGTATAACTACATTTTAGGGATGTTATGGATATCCGTAACCGTAACTATCGGATATCCGATATTAAAAAAATATCCGTAACCGTAACCGAAATTGATTCAAAAGTTAGTATTTAGCGGATAGTTTCGGATGAAGGCGGAGTCTAAATCTTAGTAATTTTTTTTTACTATTTGTTACTTGTCTGATATTCTCTGGCACCATCTAATATCCCTATTTTACCTTTATCTTAGTAGTCCAGTCATTTCGTCCGAAAAAAAGGCAAATAAAAGAAAATGAATTTGCGCTTCTAATTTTTTAATATGTTGTAGGGGATACCTAGAAAAGCTTAACTTGAGATTGTCGACCAAGCTTTCCTAGGAGCTTTCGCCGCCATCTTGGAAAACGCTTAAAATTTGTTTTTCGGCAATAACTCGGCTATCCGATGAGATTCGAAAATTTTTGTACGACACTTTTTGTAGCTTTCTTTGTGCTCTACAATAACGCCCGAACCATTTTTAGCGTATCATGCATCGTTATCGAGATATCGATCGATAAAGTCAAAAATTTTGGACACAATTTTTGTTTTTTTCTTTTTTTTTCTTTGGGTCTTAATAAATATGAAAAATTCCGAAATAATTAAATAATTAATTAAAAAGTAAAAAGTAAAATTTAATTACTTTTAATTACTTTTTAATTACTTTTTTTTAAGTAACGGCAAAGCATTTGTATTAGTTGGTTCTTGTTTTGATCCCTTGTGAGAAACTTCTCCTGGCTAACTTTTGGAGTAGTTGTCTCATCGAATGTGAACTCCGGCGATTGGTTTTTTCTCGAACGTCGTACTCTTTCCGAAGTTTTCGTTCCAGCGAGTGTCATATCAGTCGGATAACCGTCGAATATGATTGCAACCTTTCCTTCGAAGTTATGTTGTACGTATCTGACGTTAATTATTTAATTATTCCGAAATAATTTGTGTCCAAAATTTTTGACTTTATCGATCGATATCTCGATAACGATGCATGATACGCTAAAAATGGTTCGGGCGTTATTGTAGAGCACAAAGAAAGCTACAAAAAGTGTCCTACAAAAATTTTCGAATCTCATCGGATAGCCGAGTTATTGCCGAAAAACAAATTTTACCCCTTTTTTCAACATGGCGGCGAAAGCTCCTAGGAAAGTTTGGTCGACAATCTCAAGTTAAGCTTTTCTAGGCATCCCCTACAACATATTAAAAAATTAGAAGCGCAAATTCATTTTCTTTTTTGAATGTACGTAATGACTGGACTATAGGTACCGTCATAGTTCAAAAAGTGGCTATGTGGGTCGCCGGCATCTTGCTATTTGAATTTAACATTCTTAAAATTCTAATATCCGTATCCTAAACTTTCGGATAATTTGAAATGATTTCATATCCGTAACCGAAACCGTTATAATATTATTCTAATATCCGTAACTGTATCCATAACCGAAACTTCATATCCTTAACATCCCTGCTACATTCAAGCAAACCGAAGAGCAATGTCCAAACCCAAGAAGAGATTTTTACTGAGCGGGCGCCTCTTCACGTCGCCGGGACGTCCACCCACAAGGTGGACCGACGACATCGTAAAGGTAGCAGGAAGGCGCTGGACGCAGGCCGCTACCAACCGGGCAGCATGGAAAGCATTGGGGGAGGCCTATGTTCAGCAGGGGACGTCCTATGACTTAAATGATGATGATGATGAGGGCGCCTCTTCAGCATATTTTAGTCTATATCTATAAAAACGAAAGGTCACTGATTGACTGACTCACTCAGCACGTAATTTCAGAAACTAAAGTGCTAGGAGTCTCAAATTTTGCATTTCCTTTTAGGACGTAGGTGCTCACTAAGAACGGATTTTACGAAACTCCACCCCTAAGTGGGTAAAACGGGATCCACGCGTACAAAGTCGCGGGCGGCCGCTATAGTCTGGTCTGCGATCACGTAGAATTTTGTCCAATGACCCCAAGCTAGCACACTCACTGCGGGCGCCCGTCGCACAGTCGCGACAGCAACATAATTACGCGCGAGCGATAAGGATGGGTAGCTTGGGGTCATTGGACAAAATTCTACGTGCTCGCAGACCGGGCTTTAGTAATAAATATTTTTAAGATAATCATGTCTACTCTTGTTTTGTCCGCCACATTGTTATGCTGAATAAAGATTTTCTTATTCTTATTGTTTTTTGCATTATTACAGGACTCTAGGCAAGCTGCGGAATCACATGAAGAATCACTCGGAGAGACCGAAGTGCGACCTCTGCGGGAAAACGTTCCGGGACAAAGCCTCCCTGCGAACTCATTTATTGTAAGTATACTTACTTATTATGCGCCCGTATTCACAAACATTACTATGAGGTCTCACAGTGCGCGTGGACGCACAGGGTGACACACGAACCAATCACAGAGCTCTATTCAACGCTGTGCGTTCGATTTGCTGCTTCACTTATGCAAGCATCGTTTGTGAATGCGGGCGTTATTCTCAGCACTGGCCTACATATTTTCCTGAAATTGTAATACGATTGAAATTATAGTTTTTTTTTTCATAATTCATCATAATTTCTCTTCTTAATGTAAGTACTATAACTACGAAATTTATAAGAATACGTTATAATTGATAAAATTGATAGACATAATGGATTACCTAAGAATATTTTAATGTAATGTACATATCTTATGTGATTCATGTTTTAGCGACATAAGCTACTGCTATAATAGGCTAGTTTCCTAAAAAAATTTTTTAGTCCGTCATGTTTAATATCAAAAAATATTGGACACATATATTTTTATTTGTCAATCTAACAAATAATTACATAGTTATGGTGCGTTGAAGTTCCGCACGACGTCACAACGTGCAGGCACTTTTATGCACGCATTGACGTCACGGGCCTCTTCTTATGAACTTTGGCGCGCTTTATCTCTTTCAATTTTCATTACTTTGAAAAAGTGAAAAATACGTGTAGAGTATTTTTTGATAAGTTAACTGACGGACTAATTAAAACTCTTGCTTTTTGATCCAGGAGACATCCCTATTGTTCTAAACTATAAAGCCATTCGCGTTGGTGTTCTGTGGTAAAGGTCTATGCCCAGCTGTGACTTCTAAAACTCAGTAACAATGATGTCAACTGAAGGGTAGGAATACCCAACATTGATGAAACAAACGCTGGCCGTAACAGCGTATTACACTTGAAAATTTCGACGGGTTCATCCAGTGTCTAAGTCATATAGAGATGCCAACGAATGCGCTGAGTTCGAACACTCAGTGTCGCATTAGAAATTCACGCACACAAAGTAATCAAAATATGTGCTCATTATCCACTGCGGTATCAGTACTCAACATTCGAATAATCTTTATTACTACGCAATCATGACGTGTGCAGCAATGTGTTCCGTTTTTGGGCATATTGCTGCGATACCGGCCCCGCCCCCTTTTCACATCTCCCTTTAGTTTCTGTGATCTATGGTTTAAGTAGCTCAGTGAGGGTTTTCGCGTATGAAAAATCCGCCAGATGGCAATACGTAGACGCGAGGTCCAAATGCTGCATGATTTTTTATTTTTGACATGACAATGACAGATATATCAAAATCCACCAATCACGCAGCAGTCAGACCCCACATCCACGTCCCGCCATTTAGCGGATCTTTCATACGCGAAAACCCTCGTTGAGAAAGCAGTCGCCCGGCAAGCGGAAGGTCGTGGGTTCGATCCCCGATCTTTCAAGTTATTTATAATTTTCAAATGATGTCCACTGGCTGTCCTAGCATCCACGGCGGCGAGAAGGAGTACGCGTGCGGGCGCTGCGGCAAGCGGTTCCTGTTCAAGAAGGCCATGCAGCTGCATCTCGTCACGCACGACGCGCCCGCGCACCTTTACTGCCACCAGGTCAGCTCGAGCTTGACAGGGTTCTCCCCTGAAGCCAGTCGTCGCTTGCTCAGACCAACAGAGCGAGCCACAGTCTGACAATAACTCGCAGTTCCGTCCCAAAGACTTCGGGAGGACACCGTCAAGTTTTAGTGAGTAGGCCCTGCCCATCTGGCAGGGAGAGCCTCACATAAACAACTGGTTCCCCCGGGCCGGTGGGTGGGTATGCAATTTCATGCATTTCCTGACGAAAAAATAATAATAAAAAAAAAGCTTGACAGGGTTTATTTTATGAAGGCCATGCTGCATCTTGTCACGCACGACGCGCCCGCGCACCTCTACTGCCATCAGGTCAGCTTAACCTTAACTAAAACAATTTAGGTCACTACGCCACCATGAACAAACTCCAAAGACAGTTTAACAGTATCTCAAGGAACCTCGATCTGGATCTAGATATCTTTCGGGACAACCTACCTTCAATTAAGCGCAAAATCCTAAATAGCTTCGCATCGAGTCGCTGGCGAAATGTTATTCCAGCTAAATAATAATAATGTCAGCGTTTTATGATATTATAGATATTTATTATTGTTGATTATTTATTTTATTAAAACATTATTTAATTTTAATACTAAAATAATACATATTGCATATTTTACGCCGCACGCTTGCTTGTGCAAAACCAGAGATACGCAACCGGTCTCGACCGGAGCGCTTGACTAGTGGTGGGGAGAGTTTATAAATATCGGTGTTGCACAAGCAAGCGGGCATTAGTGTGCCGGCTCTTGGAGAGGACGGACGTCTAAATGTTGTGCTGCCACAATAAATGTAAGTACATGTTGTTATGCTGTTACTATGAGTAATTATTGCTATATTTATTATTTGATTATCGATAAAAGCTTATATACATCATAATTAAAGTTATGTATTAATAAGATATAACTATTCATTGCTATTTTGGTTGATTTATATAGAAATATAAATTAAATACATACCTACATATTATCTAGTTTGAATGTTTATATTTTGTCCTTTTGATTAAAGTATTTAAAATATGATAAATGTTTTTATATAACCCCTTTTTAGTGATAAAAGTATAATTAACACATCAAGATGCCCGACTATCTGACAATAATAAAAAAATCCTACTAATATCCTATCCTACTAATATAATAAATGCGAAAGTTTGTATGGATGTCTGGATGTCAACATGTTTGTTACTCTTTCACGCAAAAACTATTGAACGGATTTTGTTGAAACTTTACAATATTATTGTTTGTAACCTAGATTAACATATGGACTATAATTTATGACGATATGTGACCAACTAAATTTCAATAAATAAATAAATAAGACGTGGGTAAAAGGCGCCATCTATCGTCATTTAAAATCTACAGCGCTGGACAAAAATTTTTGACATTAGTAAATACTCATGCGGGGGAAGCCGCGAAACGTCATCTATCAACATCATTATCATTAGTAATTAAACGAGGTCCACGCGTATGAAGTCGCGGGCGGCCGCTAGTATGCATATAAATGGTATGGTGAAGTCAGAAATTTGATATCATCATTTTAATTATACAAATTAATCTGATTTTATGAATTTTATTTTGTATGAACATTAAAACATTAAAATGATATCAAATTTCTGACTTCACCATAACATTTATATGCATATGATAACATGGGCTAGTGTCGGCTTATAAATCCAGTTACCTAACACCCTGTATAATATCATATTACTGTATAAAAATACGCGAGTCATATTTGACTCATGGTGCGTTTTGAATGTATTCTGTACACGCTGTTCTGATAAATAAATGGTACAAATAATTTGATTTTAATTTATTTTAAATAGCAGCATCTCGTTAATTACTGTCTCTTTATAATGATAATTTTTTTTTGTTCCAGTGTGACGTCACCTTCAAGAATCGCATGACGTATTACCAACACATGAAGTACAACTTGAAACATATTGATCCTGCCAAACTTAAGTAAGTAATTTTTAGAAAATATTTTTTTCATTAATTTTTAAGTTTATTTATCCATGCTAATTAATGTGAAAGTAACTAATTATTTTTGCCTATGACCTTTTTACGATTAAACTACTAAACCATTTGAATGAATTTTGGCTGAGATTCATCCTGAAATCCTGTATTCCTAATACATAAATAGGCTAGTTTCCTAAAAAATTACTATATTATCAAAAAATATTGGACACGTATATTTTTATTTGTCAATCAAACAAGTAATTGCGAAGTTATGATGCAATGAAGTGCCGCGTGACGTCACAAAGTGTTACACTTTTAAGCACACCTTGACGTCACGGACCTTCTCTTTGTCTCTTTAAATAATTATTATTTTGAAAAAATGAAAAATATGTGTCGAGTATTTTTGGATACGTTAATTGACGGACTAATTCAATCTTGTTTTTTTACCCAGGATAGGCAGGGATATTCCCTATTGCCGTTTCTTGAATAGGGATGTTTCCTGGGTAAAGTTTTAATTAGTCCGTCAGTTAGCTTATCAAAAACTACTCGACACGTATTTTTCACTTTTTAAAACTAATGAATATGTAAAGAGATAAAGCGTGCCAAAATTCTAAAGAAAAGGCCCGTGACGTGTGTAAAAGTGCAGCACTTTGTGACGTCACGCGGCACTTCATTGCATCATAACTTCGCAATTATTTGTTTGATTGACAATTAAAAATATACGTGTCCAATATTTTTTTGTATTAAAGTTGACGGACTAAAAAATTTTTTTTAGGAAACTAGCCTATTCTTTCCTTAATAGTGTTGAAAATGATTGAAGTGGCTGACTGTCAAAAACGGTCATTTTCGGTCAATTTAATTTCAGTAATAGTTTAGAATTTTTAAGTTTTTTTCTTAGATTTTGTGATTGATAAAAGTCTACGACATCTTAATTGAAATAGAAGGGTGGTTTGTATTTAATTTGATTTGACAGTAAATGACCGGTCATTTATGGTTTTTGACCATTGTGACCGGTCAGAGGCAGAATTGCGTAAAGCAATCGTTATCATTTGACAGTTCATAACGTACGATTATTCTGTCAAACGCTTAGTTTAACTGACTTTATCGTACGTTATGAACTGTCAAATGATTACGATTGCTTTACACAATTCCACCTCAGATTCAGTCAATTTACATCTGTATTCGTCAAACTGTTTGTAGGCACGCGTGCGCCACGTGCGGCAAGAAGTTCACGAAAGCGGCTCGCTTGGAGGAACACAATGTCGCCGTGCACCTCAAGACAACGCCCGTTAGTTGTACCATGCCCGACTGTAGTTTCGTGAGTACAACACATTTGTGTAAACTATGTAGGTCGATGGGTGAACGATGAGATGAATAAATGAAATGAAAGTCCATTTTGTAAGTCTCGAAGCGCTGGTAGGGCAAAAAAAGAATGAGACATGTATAGGCTCCTTAAGAGCATTTGACGATTTGCAAAAACTAATTTAATTAGTCTAAACAAATAAAGATAATTTTGATTTTGATTTTGAAGTGAAAAAAACTTTAATAAAATAATTACCTAATAATTATTTTAGTTACATATTTCTCAAGGCCCATAAATACGTAGATCTAGCTACCTAATATCTACTCTTTATGGCCATCGTCAACAATTTGTTTATTCAGATGAGTGTTCCACCAAATGTTTGTGCTCAAGGTACACCTAGTCCAAAAATCGCACTTTGTCATAAAAATTGCTATTCTATGTGCATTTAGGTTTATAACAAAATTCCTGAAAGATTTAAAATAGGTCCTGCAAAAGTAATGACCAGAAAGCTTAGGGAATGGCTAACCACTTCCTGCTTTTACAGTGTTCAGGAATTTCTGGACAAAAAATTGCATGTTAATGTTTTTTAGCAGAATAGAGCTTTGTATTTACAATACTATCTGTATCAACCTATTCTTTGCAAATAAATGTCTTTGTCTAGAAAAACGAATTTTTTTTAAGGTACACCAATGAATTTCAGCAGTTAAATCACGATTTTTATTGCATGATTTTAAAAAAAAAGTCACTGATTTAAATCGATGACCGAAAATTGAATTAATGAAAGGCTGGGAGTTTATATTAATCAACTGTTATGTTCGAAAACAATGTTAATATTAGTTGTTAATGAAATTGTCGTTTCGTGTGGAGAATCCGAAAAAAAATTTTTTCCATACAAACATTTTTCAGAAACCACATAATTTATTTTTTTTGGCGGTGTTGCTAACTCTTACATCAATCCTAAAAAATAAAAATGTTTTCCGTAAGAAAAACAACTAAATATGTTTGCAAAACCTAATAAAAATAAAAATAAATCGAAACAATCGTGTTTTTTTTAAATCCGCTTTTTTTTATTAAAATAAATAAAAACATGATTTTTTTTCCACCCTGTCTTCATTTGCAGTAAGTTAGGTGGTTAATTAAATAAAATACAAATAAATGTCTTTTCTCCAGGCGTGCTCATCGCGAACGGTGCTGCGAACGCACATTCGCATGGTGCACCGCAACCTGCGCGCCGCCAGGAACCACGTCTGCCACGCCTGCGGGAAGGCTTACAAGGTACGCCCCGTGAGTCATGTGATACACGTGTTAGACGCCCCATGAATCATATGTGATACACGTTTTAAACGCCCCATGAGTCATATGTGATACACGTGTTAAAGACATCGCACATCATCAACCCGGAAAGGGATCGTAAGTCGTAACTAAACTGCTGAGTCACTGGTGATACACGGTCTGCCACGCCTGCGGGAAGGCTTACAAGGTACGCCCCGTGGGTCATGTGATACACGTGTTAGACGCCCCATGAATCATATGTGATACACGTTTTAAACGGTTTAGAGTCTAAACCGTTTAAACTTGAAATTTTGTAAATATTAATTTTTAGCTCTTCCGACTCAAAAGGTTGCCGACCCCTGGTTTAGACGCATAATGTGAAATCCATAAAAATGTTAAACCTAACCTAATCTAACCACATGTTTTACTTTATTTTATTAACTCAGCGGTTAAACTAATCAACAAAATTAAAACAGGATACAAATATCATAAATTAATAAGATTTTTATGGATTTCACATTTTGCACTTTTGACATTATGCGTCTAAACCGTTTTAAACGCCCCATGAATCATGTGATACACGTGTTAAACGCCCCATGTATCATTATGAGATACATGTGTTAAATGCCCTATGAATCAAATGTGATACAATTTTTAAACGCCCCATGAATCATATGTGATATGTTAGACGCTATTTTACAACAAAGAAAACTGCTGAGTTAGTGGTGATACAAGATTTCACCTAAGGCCCAGAACAGACGGTGAAACGCAACTGCAACGAAACTGCAAGTTTCTGATGATTCTAATGAATGAAACTGAAAGTTTCAAACTGGTCGCGTCATGTGTGGTCTCTCAACGGATGCTATGGCAGAAACTTAGATGCAACTCAAAAGTAACTAGCAATTGCAGTTTCGTTGCAGTTGCGTTACACCGTCTGTTCTGGGCCTAAGGACAAGTTGATCTTCCCATAATCCGCGAATCAATAGAGGTATTTGCGCATAATGTTAGATACTCGACTTATTTAAGCAAACATGCAAGCAAGCAAACAAGCAGGCATTGTAACATGCAAGCAAGCATGCAAGCAAGTATGCAAACAAGCAAGCATGCAAACAATCGCTCTTCCAACTGAGCTACTGAGAGTCTAACACTGGATGAACCCAATGAAGTCTCTTAACGCCAGAAAAATTGTAATACTGTGCCAATAAACATTTTTCTATTTCTATTCGCGTTCCATTTCAACTAAAGAAAATAGAAAGACACGGGTCTTAACGTTTATGAATGAGTACATCACTAGTGGTGTAACAAATGACAATATGAGGGTAGTTGAAAATTTTCAAGCTAGCCCAAACGGACGACGCCGCGAGCCGCCAGTCTGCTTGTGACCACGGCTGCAGCATCGCAGCCGAAACGTCAAGCCGTGAGTACATAATGTAACTCATTAATAAACGTCGCGTTAAGACCCGTGTCTTACTATTTAAGTTTTAGGCACTGTTAACATACTACATCAAGCAGAGAACGGGCAGCAGCGCTCTCTGAAAAACATCAATCTTTTAAACTGCGATCTCCAACCCGCCTGCCAAGCGTGGGGATTAGGGCATGAATATCGGAATCTCGGAATCTCGTAATATCGGNAGTCGTTTTACTGATGTATTATAAAATTTCATACCTAATAAAAATTCCTTAGAAGAAAATATTAAAAGTGACTTTAGATGAAGTAATTGCTTACTTCTGAAATATATTGTGATAACGACGGACAACTAAGGAACCCTACACTGCGCGTGGCACGACACGCACTTGGCCAATTTTTTTACTTAAGATTTAACCCAGTTTTCTGGCAAACTATTTCTCTATTTGTTGTGGAAAAAAATACGTGATATTTCCCGAGGCCCCCCCTCTCCCCCACGTGAGATTTGGTGAGGTTTTTGTTGACCCCCTCCCCCCCCTAAAAGCCTCACGTAATTTATGGACGCCCCCTAACCCGTGATAATGAATAACGCCCATAGCTATTACCGAGCGTGAGCGTGGCGTTGCCCTCGTTGATGTCTGCGCCGGCGATGCCGACGAGCGAGAAGCCGAGGCGGCGGCCGAGCTCCACGGCGTAGTTGCAGTTCTCAAGGCGCTCCATGAACTTGCGAAGCTTGGAGAACTGTCGGTGCACCTGTGGACGGAAGATAACACACCAGTCAATGAAGGCTATCGTTTTAGCGCTCACCAGTTAGCGCCACTGTAGAGTAGGGTCCTGTCACTTGCTTGCTAGTAGCGAAGACAGTGGCGCCAACTGGTGAGCGCTAAAGTGGTAGGAGGACTATCGCATTTGCACTCATCAAGATGGCGCCACTGTAGAGTAAGGTCCTGTCAATCGCCAGGGGTGCCAACTGTTAAGTATAAAAACGATAGCCCTCATTGGCATGCGTATTTATGAGCTGTTAAAAAGTGACATAGATGATGGAGAAGTGAACTCATTTGACTAATTATATTATTAATTTAAAAGCTACTAGCCTAATAATAGGCTACTAAACTGTATTAAGCTACTAGTTAACAATTTGTACTAATTCATTTTTCAGAGCTAGACACAAATACAATTTAGTATTTTTTAAGAAGTTGTGTTTTGAAGATGAAACCACTCGTATTTGTCCTCACCAGTTGGCGTCTCTGTACGGTAAGGGTCTGTCACTCGCCAGTGGTGCCAACTGTTAAGTATAAAAACAATAGCCCTCGTCACGAAAATGTTTATCATATTTATTTTGTTTGTTGGACTGAGAATTAGGTCGCAGATTGAGCTTTTAGCTGGAGCTATAAACATTGGGCCATTAAAACAACTATTTAAGGTGGTGGGTGGGTACGAATCCCTTCGAGAGCAGATGGTCAATATTTGACAAATAGCCTACCTTCTTCCAGTCGACGATGCCGGGCTTGATGATGTCGTAGAGCTGGAAGATGACGAGCCCGTCCGTCAGGTCCGAGTACAGCCAGTTGACGTGCGGCGCCACACCCATCGAGTTCATCCAGTTGCGGTACGCTGGAAAATGGACCTTATTGTTATAGCCATAGAGATATAGAGATGCCAACTAATGCGCTGAGTTCGAAACTTAGTGTCGCATTAGACCTTCACACACCAAAAAGTAATCAAAAGTGCTCATTATCCACGCAAGCAATGTACTGTTTACGACGTCGCTGCTGTCATCATTGCTGTTACGAGCGTAAGGTAATGCCTTGAACAACATTTACAATAAGAGGACGTTACAAGTAGGGCATGAATATCGGAATCTCGGAATATCGGAATCTCGGAAGACGAGATCCGATATTACAATTCCGATATTGAGCGACCCAATATCGTAATATCGGAATCAGATAAAGGTTTTAATTGAAACTTTAAACAAAGCGTTTAAACGCGCCAGAACCTGCTACAAAGGCAAAGACAATGATTTTTCTCATGTCTCTCAACTCAACATCACTTTTTGTCGCACTGCAAATAATTATTAACCATAAAATGTTCTAAAACAATTTTAGCACTCGCCGTACTTGGTCTTAGCAATGAAAAACGATATCTCAACTTCCTTCCAAACATTAATAAAATTGGACTATGGCCCGTCAGTTCTGCGTACTATGTGCCCGCCCATTGCCACTTCAGCTTGCTAGTCCGTCGGGCTATGTCAGCGATTTTAGTTCGTAAACAGGGCTTCTCATTTCTGATTCGAACTCGTAAATAAACACCAAGCACAGCCCTCTTCATAGCACGCTGTGCAACTTTGAGGGCCACGTTTCCGAGCCGTATATTATCACTGGTAACACACATTGTTTGAAGACTTTCGTCTTTAAGCACTGAGGTATTTTGGACGAAAAGATGTTGTGTAGTTTCCCGAACGTGGCCCAGCCGAGTAGGATTTGACGATTTACCGCTTTCTCGAAATTAAATCTACTTAGCTGAATCNATTTATGGGCTTCCATCCTATCAAGAGCTTCTGGAAACAAAAAAAACTTGTTATCCTTCAGAGAGAGACGATATTTGTGTGAGTTATCAATGATGGACATATTGTAAATTGGGCAACCTCTCGTATAAGCTACTTTTTGACGGCCAGCGGACCTATACATACAACGTTGTATTAAGTACTTCACTTAATTTTATTTTATTTTAGTAAAAGTTGATGCATACGAGCGCGCGCGAGTGCGAGTCGTTGTTATGTGTCATCAAAGGTGTCCCTTATACACCATATTGTAATAGGCTAGTTGCCTAAAAAATTTTTTTTAGTCCGTAATGTTTAATATCATAAAATATTGGACACGTATATTTTTATTTGTCAATCTAACAAATAATTACATAGTTATGGTGCGTTGAAGTTGCGCACGACGTCACAACGTGCGGCATTTTTAAGCAAGCGTTGACGTCACGGGCCTCTTCTTATGAACTTTGGGGCGCTTTATCTCTTTAAATTTTCATTAGTTTCAAAAAGTGAAAAATACGTGTAGAGTATTTTTTGATAAGTTAACTGACGGACTAATTAAAACTCTTGCTTTTTGACCCAGGCAACATCCCCATTCTGGCAATTTTTCGTGCAAATATTTAATATAAAAAAATCGATTTTTCAACCCTCGATAACTCAAAAGTACGCAGAGATAAGTGACAAGTATCTTCGCATGAAATACTCAGAATCACTTGTTTTATAACATGTGTGATCGGCATCTTGACATCGTTAAATAATTTGGAAAAATTGACAGAAACGTAATTTCTTCCATACAAAAAATATGTATTTATTTTTTTTTACTACGAAATAGACGTCGTAGGATTGTAATATTTTTTTGCCTTATTAGTTATCATAGCAGTAACCATCAAAAAAAATTTCGTGCTTCTAGCATCAATGTCCATGTTTTATTAAATCGGGACCACCGTGCGCCGCGGCGCGGAGGTTTTAGTAGGTATACCCGTCCCTTATTAGGGCGCCGGGAGTCCCACACACCACCCTGTCCCCCGGCAGTGGTGACGGTACGCAAAGCATTTCCTCCGCGACAAAAAAAAGGGGGGCCCAAAACGAGCTGTGCCTAGGGGCCCCGAGATGGTTAATCCGGCCCTGCCAAGGCCTACCTGTTGGGAGACTCGATTAAGTCTTCGAGCATTGTGCCGAGGTCTTCCAGCGATTCCGCCCTAGTAAGCAAACTGACGGCCGATGGGGCAGCAAGGTTCTGGAGTGGAGGCCACGTACCGGAAAGCGCAGCATAAGGCTGCCATCCACAAGATGGACCGACGACCTCATAAAGGTAGCAGGAAAGCGCTGGATGCAGGCCGCCACCAACCGGCCATTGTGGAAATTATTGGGGGAGGCCTATGTTCAGCAGTGGACGTCATATGGTTGAAATGATGATGATGATGATGACGCCCCGTGGTTTTGTGAGTTGTACATCGATAATCAAAAAGGAACAAATTACAAGCATATTCAAGTTTTTTACCACTGTCTAATATTTTTGTAACATGTGACTTGAATGACTCTACAAATCGTTCCGCCAGTATTGGTTGAAGGAGTAAAAGTTTGTTTCATACCTGTTTTACAAAAACACTTAAATTCTTTGCTAGTCCATTTCCATAATTGGCCCATTATCAGTTACCAAAATGCAATGCATAACATACAAAATGGTTTTAAATACTTCAATTTTGTAATTTTAAAGAAGTGCTCTTGTGTACTAAATAAAAGATTTTGATTAAAATCATCATTTTACTGTATACAATCGAGAAATTATACGAATATAACCAAATATTTAACATTTATAACACATAACCTCAATTCCGATATTAATATCGGAATTCCGATATTAATATCGGAATTCCGATATTGAGATCTAATATCGGAATCCAATATCGAAATTGAAAACCTTCCGATATTACATGCCCTAGTGGGGATTATGGCAAAACCCTCCACTACAGTGGAGGAGGCTTGTAGTCCAGCAGTGGACTGTAAAGGGCTGTTGATGATGATGATGATGATAACATACTGCACTGCCCTCAGACCAAGACATCGCTGGAGGGCCATTTGCGCGCGCATTCGGGCGAGCGACCGTTCGCCTGCGCACTGTGCTCGTCCACGTTCGCGTACGAGGCCGCGCTCTACAACCACAACAAGCTCGTGCACCAGAAAGGGAAGGTTTGTTGGACTTTTATTTTATATTTATTTTCTTTATTAGGAAAACATACAGCTTATATAATCGGCCGTTTGGTGTAGTGGTTCAGAACGGACTACTATGCCGGAAGGTTCGATTCCCGGCCGGGCAGAAATTGAAATGCCGAATTTTAGTTTCTGTGACGGGTCTGGGTGTTTTATATGTATGTATTTACAAAAAAAAGTATTTAAGTATGTTTATATCCGTTGTCTAGTATCCATAGCACATGCTTTGCTTAGTTTGGGACTAGAAGCGCAGTTTAAAATGTCCAAGGATATTTATTATTATTTATTTACTAGCTTTCCGCCCGCGGCTTCGCCCGCGTGGAATTTTGTCTGTCACAGAAAAACTTTATCGCGCGCGTCCCTGTTTCAAAAACCGGGATAAAAACTATCCTATGTTCTTTCCCGGGACTCAAACTATCTCTATGCCAAATTTCATCAAAATCGGTTGCGAGGTTTAAGCGGGAAAGCGTAACAGACAGACAGACAGACAGAGAGACAGAGTTACTTTCGCATTTATAATATTAGTTGGGATTATAACATAGTTGGTTAGGGCGCGTGTCATATGTGTATACATGTGTGAAAAAAAGGGTCTGTATGCTAAAGATACATATTAATTAAACGTGCCTCAGAAGGGGAAGGTTTGTTGGAGAGTTTTATTTTATATTTATTTTCTTCATTAGGAAAACATACAGCTTATATTGTAACACAGATGGTTAGGGCGCGTGTCATATGTGATACATGTGTGAAAATAGGGTCTGTATGCTAAAGATTAATAGCACGGTAATACTAATAGGTTACCATAGGTTGTCTGGAAGAGATCGCTTCATAGCGATAAGACCGCCTACCTACAACGAGGTTTGTATGACAGAACAATTAGTTATGTCATAATATGGTTCATTTCATACCATATGACAACTATTTCGTATAATCCCAACTAATATTATAAATGCGAAAGTAACTCTGTCTGTCTGTCTGTCTGTCTGTCTGTCTGTCTGTTACGCTTTCCCGCTTAAGGCG